TCTTTACTGTTCACCCCTACTCTTTCCTGGGTTGCTTAAAAAGACTGTGTCATACTTCGTAGGACTCTGGAGACTGTCAGTAGGGCGAGTGGTATCCCATTGGGCTATATCGTTGACATCGTCATTGATAAGCACTTGATTTCATGCAAGAAATTTGCTAGAGATTTTGCCAGACTGTGAGCATCCACTTTGCTTACCCACAGCTCTTACCTTGTGTCTCCTCAGGTAAAACAATAACTCATTTCAAAGGACTTTATGCGCGCACGTCTAAGAATAAAAGTTTCACGATACCATATTTGGCATGTATTTTATTTGATGAAAATAGTATCAGGGAGAAACTGACTAAACTTCTTTGCACTAATAAATAAAGCATTTTCTCCATCCTCATCCCATCAAGCTTTACTGTTACTCTTCTTATATTTATAATCGTTTTGTTTATTTTCTCATAAGTGTAAACACCATTTAATCTCTGTAATAATTGTTATGTTTTGTTTTCCCCTCACTATGCTATGCCAAGCGAACATTGGATTCAATACTCTATAACATGCTCAGATTTCCAAACTGAGCCGACAATACTGTTTGAAACAAACCCATTGTTGTTATTATTCTCAATTCGTGCTTAGCACATTTTTGACTTTGCTCCTACCGTAAATGTGGACAAGTTCCTGTGGTTAATTTTATTTGTATTTTGAGTAAGTTAGATGCAATATTGAGACAAATGATGAGAATTCCATTCTGTATTATAAGTACTGTGCTTGGAACAAAGCAGTTCATAATCACTTTACTATTATTGTTATTGTTATTGATTTTCACTGAATATACCTGTCATCCTGCTTACTATACTTTTCTGATTCTATTTGAGTGAAAATAAACTCGTTATCATGACGGGATGACAGTGTGACCTATTAATGAGACCTGAGAAAGTAATCGGTGGTGTAATTCAGTTTAAGTGAAGGAGTGCTGCGATTGTTACAGCTCCACTTGCTTACTTATTCGTCTCGTGTAAATGTCATGTTGAATCAGACATCAACACTCGTGATCATATGGACACATTGACATCACGCTTTAACTGAAATAATAATAACATACTCCTTTTGAATACACCTAATTTATGACGAGATCATACTCTGCCATAGTGCCTAAGCTCCATTCTTACGTTTGAATACATAGGTTAAGTCGTTTGTCATTGATCCCTATAGATTCAGCTATGGCTAGGAGAAGTAATCGCGTTACTTTAGGCAGATGTGTAGGCTTGACCTAAGTCCTTACAAGTCATCACCTGCAGTAATTGATAGTGTTCGAAGAGAATTACACCGAGGTATAGTAACAAGTTCATATCCTAGATAGTACCAGTCTAACATGCCGTGAGCTCGCCACAAGATTATGAGGTAGAACACAAGAATACTAGAACAAACATTTTTACTTCAGTACAGTGTAAATGAGGCTTATTTGCATATGTGGACTGAGAACAGTCCAAAATGAAAGCTTTTGTCTAGGAAGTATCTCCCATTATTCCACAGAAAACGTCCAGCACCCAAATTGTTTCACTTTCAAATTCTTTTCTAATTAAGGCAGGCAATTGGACGCCCACATCCTAAGTTGTCCGGTATACAACACTGGAGAAAGAACACCTGCATGGTTACTAGTGAGCGAGTCAACTTTATTTCCCATGTTGTCGTTGTTGTACGTAGAATCAATTCTCACAACTGATTATAAAAATCTATTTGGCGATAAGTCATAAAATCACACATAACATCATCACAGTCACACGCTGAACAACACTCACTGACTAACTCACTCATCCCCTCACAGTTGGCTATTCGGATTTCAAACTGTTGATTTTCACAACAACGACCACTAACTGATCTCTCATCATTTGCACAATAACAAACATTACCACACAGATTCCTCCACCCCACTTTGCATCATCCTGTCACTCGACGAAGACATCTGAGAGTAGAAGGGAAGCAGAAGTAGAGGAAGAAGATGAAGACCTGGTGCAACAAATATATATTCGGAAGTGTATTTTAGAGAACACGTGAAATTACAAATGTAATAATAGTGCATGTAAAATCAAGTAGAAATGAGTTGTTAGTTTTGGGTAATGACAAATTATTACTAGTGATACTGGGGTGGCGCAGACGAATTAATTATTTGTGCATAGCGATTTGCATGGATTGCCAACGATCAGTATGTTATCCAGACGAATAATCAAGACGTTTCGCACTTGGATATTTAATATTCTATTCAACAAAATGAAACACGGGGTGAACACAGTTAGGCGAATAATATATATATATATATATATATATATATATATATCATATGTATGTATGTATAATATCGATAAAATTAGTTCGAGCGAACAAGTATTTCAATAAATTCTTCTCTATGGTCTACAGTTATATATCTAATGTGCTAGGATACGATAGTCAGTGAAGGCAAAACAAATTCATATCTGAAACTGTATTACGGTATAAGTGTATGATGGAGTGATATATATTTGTTATTTGTCATCCTCCAAACTCACCCTCAGCATAACATTCTTGTTTGTCTATTTTTCTGAAGTATTCATATTTCTCTCATACCACTGAATATAACTCAACCCACAGGACTTATATTTTTGTTCGTCACAAAGGAACAAGCAGGTCGCCCAACTGTTTACTCACATTCGATCTTCTGTTCTTCTGGCTGTACATTTCATATTCATTCAAATGTTATTCATAGCCAACAGACTATTACTTCATCTTGTGCTTTTATTCTAATACACCTTCCAACATAGTATTGATTTACCCTCGCTGAATATTGCATTCATGGATATACAATTGTAAGGCGTGAGGAAGAAGTTATCGAAAACAATTGTTCGTTCGAATTATTCTTCTTCTGAATACACAACGGGAGTGTTTGAATTACTGATCAAATTGTATGCGCTTCTGCAGAGTAAGCGAAGGGACGATATATATATGTATATAAACATGTGATTTGCGAGATACATTTTCCCATCATATGTATATTTCTAATTTTATTTATTCATTTAATTCCGTTTGCGTTCCGGGTGGAACTTAGGGCTTCAAAGTTCAGTTTTGAGGTTTCAGTAGCAGTGATGTTTTTGAGGGATGGGATTGCTAACCCCACGTTCACCCTCCCCTCTTTGTCGAGGTTACAACCGACTAGGTGAGGCAAAGGTGTTCGCCGGCCGTGGATCGAACTCGGACCACATGCATGGTTGGCGAACATCCTACTGCTGAGCTACCGAGCACCATATTTCCTGTACTGCAATGTAACTCTGAAATGTTCTCAGTAAATTGAAAGTCAGTTGATGGGCTGCATGATCAGTGAGTATTGCTTTACATTCCGGAAGGCACAGAGTTCACGAAACCTCCTGTCAGCCAATCAGATATTGCCTGTAACCAATCTGCAATGTCATCCAGTTGTCAAGGTCTTCGTCTCTCACATAATCTACACAATGGTAAAAGTAGTGTAAGGTAAAGAAGGCGGAGGATGTAAACGCAGTGACGTGGTCGAAATTCATAGGAGACCATGAGAAAAATATGTAGTTGTAAGGAGACTGAAACAATGCAAATCCATTGTATATATATTGACAATGATGTGAAAATATCTCTACGGAGGTGGTCTGCCCTGGGCTATATCACATAGATTATTCAACCAAGAGTTTCTGACACGAGTATAGGGTCGATGTAATCAACGGACTTACGACGAAATACTATTAACAAGGGATTTCCACTGTCGGCTATTTGGCGAAGCCTTTCAAACACGCCGAATTTAAGTTAAAGTAGACTGGTCAATGTAAAGTTCACATTATTTGACTCACGAATAAATAATAGGTTTGGACCGAACAATGTTGTCTCGTCTTATCAACTTCTCGAACGCAAATTTTGCAGTGAGCATCACTCCGAAATTACAATGTTAAACCATTTTGTCTTCTACTTTGCATTAACAATAATGCTTGGATTACATTCGCCTGTTGTTGTCGACGGGTTCACTGAAACTCCACCTGTGGGAACGATGTGCTGTACACTCTGTTAGAAGTGAAATTAGCCATCTTTTTCACGTTTGAATTCTTCATTCATTTATCCAGCCATGTGCACTGGTGAACTACACTGATAAGTGTCTACAGACTCTAGGTTAAACAAGCGCTAACTGCCGAAGAAAAACCAGTTTTCTCCTATCTTTTCTGAGAGCTTCTTTTGAGAACTTGTCGCTTTTCAATTGCATATCATCCATTTTGTGGAAAATCAGACAAATAATATCGACGAAGTGCAGCTCCTCCAAGTATTTTGTGTGGTTCCATTTTGTGCCTGTTTTCTCGCTGCCTGCTGTCTGTCAATTGCAAAATAGCACAATTCTTCTTAGGTTTGATGAGGTGGTCTCAATAAAACGGCTGACACCTGACCTGTGTGTCGAAGAGGAATCTATCGTTGGATTTCAGTTACCCCAGTGACTCATTCCCTAGTAGCTCTTTGTTCTCACTCTCTTCCTCCCTCCTCTTTGACCGTCTGACTTCCATAAGAGTTAGTTTTCCTGACCTACTGAGTTCCACTCACCTTATTACATCATCATCTTTTCATCTGACCTCTTGTACACCACATTTTGACCGTCTCTCACCTAACTACGTAACTGTTACTAATTCTTGTTTCCATCCAAGTTTAAGGTTGTCATATTGATATGGATTTGATTTATTTCCATGAGAATTTCGGGACTCGTTAAACTTGATCACACAACCTAGAGTCAATAACGGTGGAAACAAACGTCATCAAGCACTAATTCAATGAATGTGTTGGGCGAATAGTCTCTCTTTTGAATAGTATGCATAGTTCTGGTAGTAAACATGAGTGACTGGTCCACTCATGTCCTAAATTTTAACTGGCTAAGTAGTTCAGTGAAGTGTAAATGAACCAGAATACTCTATGACTGACACCGAATGTGTGCAATATCATTAAGTGACTGTTATAAAACGAAATATAACTCAAATTTCAAGCAAACGATAATTATATGTGATGAAAAACAGCATATTTACTGGATTCAACTAGTCAAAAACACTACATAATAACATGAGGAAATCAGTGTATATGACTTACGCGCATGCAGCTCGAATTTCGGAGTTGTGAAGACACGTATTTCCTTGTCCACACAATTTGGAAATGCATACACACTGTACCTCTGGCCGTTGGTTAAGTATGGGATTCTAATCTCTTCTCCCTTAGCTAGTTGCATGATTGTCTTATCGCCGAATAGGAAGAACACCAATTCCTTGTCCTTGCAATCGTTGTAGTTTTGAAGTGTCCAACGTAAGACGACACTTTGGCCATGGGGAGCTGCTGTGTGCAGGTTTGTGATTGCCGGAGCGTCTACAATGAACAACGTCAAAAACTAAAATAGAAACTTTTGCCCAGTGAACTCGCTACTCGTCTGTGCAATATGCTTCAATGATAAACAGTGAAGAGAATGAATAAAATTATTCAGTACATCTTACCCAATGATTTCCGGATATCCTCAGTATAGATCTGTTGGAATTCTTTATTGCTCGTCGCTCTACTAAACATTGTAAATCGAAGCCTCACTTCTCGACACATAGGGATGTTACACAATTTCACGGAGCTTGAGTTGCTCGTCGCCTTGTTATTCGGTGATTCGGCCAACTCCAATATAAGCTTGTATTCATGGCTAGGATTCTTGCTCGTATCCACCTCAACAGTGGCACAGTCACGGAGGTATGATCTGGTGACGTCTGACTTACTTACATCAGCTGAACAACCGGAATATCCATTGGACGACATGAAATGGAAAGTGAAAGAAGAGAGTTACATTTCAAGTACCATCCTGACAATATGCTGATTGACAACGTCAAACAATTGAAATCTGTCAATAACCATGAAACATTGTATTTCGATGAAGCTTCTCCGACAGAGGCTATTTAGACCTGTCAAGTGTACGAGTGCTCTTACAATTCCGATCTGCATCACTATTAATGCCAGTAGTAGTAATTTCAAAAAGGATTGCGTGTTTCGGCAGAATGATTGGAAGTGTAGGTAGGACGGATTACGTACTCAACCAGACGACTACAAATGAGTGCGTGTAGTAATTCTAAGGCAGAATTATTCACCTCCAACGAAGCTCACTCACAGTTTCGTTTTACAGCTCCATGAAACGAATGCAGCATTGTGCATATTTCCAGCATCATTTCGAAGCCTCTTCCGTCTGTCTGAGTCTTCATAGTGGGAGTCTACTTCGTGCGCTTCGAAACAAAGATTGTATTTGTGAAGGTATACACTTCATCCGTACTGCAGGAGAACTACATCTAGCAATTATGACTTCTCTAGCTACTTACTTAGTTTACTTACACGTACTCACCACAACCTCTCCATCTCAATCCTAACTCCTTTTCATCCTGAGAGAGTGAATAACAAACATATCGGACTCAATGTGATGCATGCAAATGAGGCAAGACACACAAGTGGGGAGAACCTCATCACCTCTGCACACTGAAAATAACCTCCCAATCAGTACAATATTTTCACGACGAATGGAACATCATCAATTGATTGTGTTTAATTTTACAGAAAGAGAAGAAAAAGAGAAAAAGGAATTACCTTGGACAGTGGTTGTCAAAATGACCGGAATCAGACTGATGCACAAGGCTATAATCATATTGAATGATGGGTGTATTGTATTATAGTGTCTTCTATGACTTCGGACAACTAGTTAGTCCATGCAACCGTTTATATAATTTTCTGAAATTGTAGTTTTCTCTTTGACCAATCAATTAGTTGTTGTGCGTCAAAGTCATATTTTGCGATATTCTTCTTGTTCCATAGGGGCCAGTTCACTTCACCTTCAAACTACAATATTATCTGAATCATTTTATTGGTTGTTGGAGATATTGAATTACATCAGATAGAACTGATGCTGACCAGCATGGACACTAGGGGAATTTCGATGTCTTCATACAACTGTATTTGTAGGTGTATATGAAGACAGCAAGAATTATTCAAAAAATTATGGCAGTCCCTTTCCTTGAATTCTGTGTATGATCGAATATGCATACATTCATTCCCCTTTATGAATTTGAATAAAGCAAGAACAGCAGTTTGTGCAGTCACAACATCCAATTGGTGTGTAGTATTTCGTCCTCCACATTTATTGTTGTTCTTCAGTTTGTTTCTCACCACTCTTTGTGACTGCATGTTATCGAACGTATACACATAGCTAAACTATAATTTAAGAGATCTTTTGATCGATATTTGATAATTCTTCTCTCCGTAATATGTTGACACCGCGATTCGACGTCGCTGAGAAGATGCAACCGTGATTCTCAGGAAACATGTCTTCCACAAGTCGTGATACTGGCTATCTCTTCGAAATGGACAACCTTAGGTTATTAATTATATCTTAGACCTTGTGAGCTATGCTCTTCTGACGTGTCTATGTTCACAAGATGATCACAGCAGTCAGCATTCCATGTGAGCTGGACTGTAAGTAATGTGTGATATCCAGTGAATCTTATTCACGAGAAAAGTGATTGGAATACTTTCTGATCTATCACTGCACACTGATGAATGGTTCCCCCATTATTTCTGTCCCAAATATACAACTATTGGTACTGCGTCGTCTTATGCAGAATTGATCAATGGATTGACAAACTGCTATAGAACTTTTACCTGAACCGTTAACACACACTTTCTTACGCCTATTGTAATAAATGCGAAGAAATATTGTCGGGAAATATAGGCTTATAGCTGAGTGAAACAAAACAATATCAATGTATAGAAATGTAACTGGTACATCAAATCTGCATGGGAATAGGATGAAATGGCCAGTTGCTCTTGTCTTCGAAAATATAACTTCAAGTTCGGGATCACGCAGGCTCCTTTTTATCCTCTGATGTCTAAGAAGCATTAGCTGGTGGATTTTCAAATGGCTCACTATAGCGACTTTGCCTACGTTCATTTGCATAATTTAGGTTTCTTTAACAATCTGTTACGTAATCAGCCTTTGCACACGCTTATTCCTTAATTGCTCTTCATTTTTCTAAAATTATGCATTATGCAATCCACGTAACCATTTCCACCTTTTAGATATATATATTAATTTTCCTTCGTTAAATATCACCCCATTGACATTTTGACACCGACTAATTATTGTTAACAAATATATCGCCACTTGATTGGTAAATTGTTGTGTATTGTAATTAAAATGCTATATATATTAGAGTAGAGCCAGATATGAGGATCTAATTGAGAGGTAAATAATTCTTCGCTCAATCTTTCTCTTTTCTAAATTTCTTGTTTGTTTTAGTAAGGTCAAGGTATGACTACCGTGAGTATATTTGCCGCTTAGTTGATGTGTACTTGATTTCAGTAAGCTGTATAGTTCCTTGGACAACTTCACATTCAATAATGTTCATTCCTCAGACAAATGTGTGACCAATAGGCTAGTAGAGATCAGAACATGCTGACCCTATCGATACGAAATTTGAAATGATCAGAAGCCAATAATTATTTAGTAGAAGTAAGGATATAACTAATATTTTTGTTTCTTGTGTGAGCATAGAATAGGATGGCTGTTATAAACGTTTGTTGAGGAACGTTTATTTATATATATATTTTATGTTAACTTCAAACTGGGGCTCATTCAAGCCACCAACTATCTTAAACATTAGCGTAGACTGTCAAGCCGATATTTTAAATTAGATAACATTTTGATGGCAGGTTGTAAGAGGTAGTAAATTCTAAGTGAAATGAAAATACCTAGGAACAAATGTTAGCGACATCCGTATTGTCAACGAGGCTTCCAGAAACTCATCCTCAGTAGAAGTAACTGAAAGAAGCAGAGATTTAAATGGGATGTTTCAAAGATTCTAAGTACAGATTTCTCTAATATATATGCGAATTTATAGCCATGTGGATGAATGTATTGTCTCTGTGGCACTTGTTTTCCATGCGAAATACTGTTGTTGCACAATTAGGTTAGTTAGTAAACTCCTACATCCATATGCAGGACAAGTATCAGGTTATTGTGTCTGCTTCACTGGGGCTTAGTGGTGTCAAGTCTGTGTAGGAGTCACTCTGTCTTTACAATTAATAGGAAACATATGAAACGATTTACACGCCTTAACATCCTACTCGTCTGTTTAAACTGAATAAGTGCATTTTCATCAACATGGGTAACTCGTTTTGCGTCATTGATGGTGCTAACTTCCCGGACCTCGTAAGTGTAGATTGTAAGTAATATTTCATGCAACTTCTGATTTGTAAACATACTCTGCTTGTTACACACAGACATGACATATACAACAGCTACTGATATGATGAACACAGACTTGGCTACTAATCGTTCAATCCCAGACAAGTTTAATAATCCTTAACACTTTCCTCATATCTCGACCTAATGGAAGACTGGTTTCAAATGCTAGCATAGCATTGGCATTTGGAATTGGCTACTTCACATTCGCAATGTGGTCAGAAAGCCAGGAAACTCTTCGCCACATTCTTTGTTTGTCTGAGGATAACTTATCGGGTTAGAGACAGATACACAGCCCGAACAACTCATGGGGAAAGCCTCACACTCGAAAACTAGGAAACACAGGCCTGACACTCCAGAATAATGCATAACCACTGCTGAAGTGGATTAGTAAGCATGAAGCTCAACTCCAAAGGGGATTCTTATCACTGTTCTCAACTGTCTTTAATCATTTTCGTTGTGTGTGAAGCGGAACATTTAGAAACTTGATCTTTTCAAATAGCTATATTAATAAGCAGAAAATAATAATAATAGTAAAATTTAATGAGGTGGTGTTTCTCTTTGTCATTATTGTGCTACACTACTATATCGTACGACTTCTTTAACATTACATATCTTTCTTACTATCTGTGGCCCACTTTCATTGTGTGGGTGTCTTGTAATGAGCTGATCATACCAGACTGGTAGTGCTATGTATAACTTTCAGGAATTTATCAATAACTCACAATTAAAAGTTGGTCATGAAGAAGAATACTCTTTTCAATCAATTGTCTACAGGCGCTTATAGTTATAAAATCAAATACGTTACCAATATGATAACAGATAGTTATACGGAAGATATAGTTTCTACGTAGAATAACATTAGTTAGAGTGTGGAGAAATCAATAGTATATGTGTGACAGACATGCTCAGCTGAATGCAATTAGAAAATACTGTGAAATACAAGGTGGTGGTGTTGAATAATCAGAACAGAATCATGCAAGCTTGAGATGGGAAATTGACAAGTGAGTTCAACTCTGCAAACTGTGATTAGTGAATGGCTGGAATAAAGACAGTATGCAGTAAACAGGAGGTAGTAAAACTGTGGTGCATGGTCCACCATGAGACAATCCATATGCAAACTGAATGACACTAAGAAAAGAGACAAATTCAATGATAAGAGATCGCAACAAGTTCTAGTCTCCATGTATGTCGAAAATTCAGTAGTTTAAGAGGAATACTAGAATTGAGGGTATAAATCTGACCTAAACAAACTGGTTAGCACTCACGAGGTGTGCAACATAGATGGCAGTGAAATAGAATCGAAGTCGGAAATTAAATACCTAGGCGTCACTTTATCTTCTGATCTTTCCTGGTCGTCTCATATCTTGACGATTTCCAAGAAAATATACCGTCTTACCTTCTACATCAAGAAGTTAAGACATTCTGGTGTAACCCAACCCTTACTCTTACAATTTGTTAACTCCCGTATTCTGCCTATTATTCTCTATTGCTCCCCCTTAGTCTTTCCTGGGCTATTGAAGAAAGACTATACCTTATTACGTAGGATGTTGAAGGTTGTCAGCAGGGTAAGCAGTTTGCCATTTAGCCAGCTTGTTAATATTCTGGTGGACAGGCATATGGACTCATGTGAAAAATGGGCGAAATCCATTTTATCTGACTCACAACACCCTCTACATTCACAACTCTCTCCATGTATCTCTTCAGGGAAAACAAGAAGCCTATATAGGAAACTATATGCCCGCACTAGCAAGTACAAAAACTCATCCATACCCTACCTAGCCCGTGTTCTGTGCGATAAAGAATGCATCAGGCATGAAACCTTTAACTTATTAAATAGTCAGTAGAACCAATGGATCTCGTCTTTCCAACTCACATCATTTATAGGTACAACGTTTTCTCGCTCTTCATTCTGTATTTTATTTTGTTATGTGCTGTTTTGTTTCTCTCTTCCTTGCAAACTCTACTTAAAACATTCTTGTTCGTTCTTTCACACTCTGTATATCTCGACCATTTTGCTATCGCTTACGCCAGTAAATATGCTAGTAGTATCTACTTTTCTAACACCTTCAAACACTTTAATTTTGGCTTTGCTACCGACATACTAATATGTTGTTGAGATAACTTTAATCTATGTAGAACTTTATTTATTGTTAATGTAAAAAACTGGATGCAATATTG